GGGGAGAATTAGGGGCAGGGGTGAACATTAGACGCGGGAGGGGGGAATTAGGGGCAGGGGTGAACATTAGACGCGGGAGGGGAGAATTAGGGGCAGGGGGTGAACATTAGACGCGGGAGGGGGAGAAATTAGGGGCAGGGGTGTGAACATTAGACGCGGGGAGGGGGGAGAATTAGGGGCAGGGGGTGAAACATTAGACGCCGGGAGGGGGAGAATTAGGGGCAGGGGTGTGAACATTAGACGGGGAGGGGGTGAATTAGGGCAGGGGGTGAACATTAGACGCGGGAGGGGGGAGAATTAGGGGCAGGGGGTGAACATTAGAACGCGGGAGGGGGGAGAATTAGGGCAGGGGGTGAACATTAGACGCGGGAGGGGGAGAATTAGGGGCAGGGGGTGAACATTAGACGCGGGAGGGGGAGAATTAGGGGCAGGGGGTAAAACATTAGACGCGGGAGGGGGAGAATTAGGGGCAGGGGGTGAACATTAGACGCGGGGAGGGGGAGAATTAGGGGCAGGGTGAACATTAGACGCGGGAGGGGCAGAATTAGGGCAGGGGGTGAGAGTAAGGGACAGGGACACCATTAAAGTTATATCAGGTGCTTGTGTAAATCCAAGATATTTGTGTAAGATCAAATGTATGTGTAAGTCAGATGTTGTGTTAGATCCGAGTGTTTGATGTAAGATCAAGGTGTTTGTGTAGATACAAGATGTTTGTGTAAGATCCAAGATGGTGTGTAAGATTACAGATGTTTGTGTAAGGTCAAGATGTGTGTAAGATCCAAGATCAAGATGCTTGTGTAGATCCAACATGTTTGTGTAAGATCCAAGATGTTGTGTAAGATCCAACATGTTTGTGTAGCTCCAACATGTTTGTGTAAGATCCAACATGTTTGTGCTAAGATCCAAATGTTGTGTAAGATCAACATGTTTGTGTAAGAATCCAAGATGTGTGTAAGATCCAAGATGTTTGTGTAAGATCCAAGATGTTTGTGTAAGATCCACGATGCTTGTGTAAGATCCAAGATGTTTGTGTAAGATTCAACATGTTTGTGTAAGATCCAAGATGTTTGTGTAAGATCCAAGATGTTTGTGTAAGATCCAAGATGTTTGTGTAAGATCCAAGATGTTTGTGTAAGATCCAAGATGTTTGTGTAAGATCCAAGATGTTTGTGTAAGATCCAAGATGTTTGTGTAAGGTCCAAAATGCTTGTGTAAGATCCAGATCCAAGATGCTTGTGTAAGATCCAAACATGTTTGTGTAAGATCCAAGATGTTTGTGTAAGATCCAAGATGTTTGTGTAAGATCCAACATGTTTGTGTAAGATCCAAGATGTTTGTGTAAGATCCAAGATGTTTGTGTAAGATCCAAGATGTTTGTGTAAGATCCAAGATGTTTGTGTAAGGTCCAAGATGCTTGTGTAAGATCCAAGATCCAAGATGCTTGTGTAAGATCCAACATGTTTGTGTAAGATCCAAGATGCTTGTGTAAGATCCAACATGTTTGTGTAAGCTCCAACATGTTTGTGTAAGATCCAACATGTTTGTGTAAGATCCAACATGTTTGTGTAAGATCCAACATGTTTGTGTAAGATCCAAGATGCTCGTGTAAGATCCAAGATGTTTGTGTAAGATCCAAGATGTTTGTGTAAGATCCACGATGCTTGTGTAAGATCCAAGATGTTTGTGTAAGATTCAACATGTTTGTGTAAGATCCAAGATGTTTGTGTAAGATCCAAGATGTTTGTTGTAAGATCCAAGATGTTTGTGTAAGATCCAAGATGTTTGTGTAAGATCCAGATGCTTGTGTAAGATCCAAGATGTTTGTGTAAGATCCAAGATGCTTGTGTAAGATCCAAGATGCTTGTGTAAGATCCAAGATGTTTGTGTAAGATCCAAGATGTTTGTGTAAGATCCAAATGTTTGTGTAAGATCCAAGATGTTTGTGTAAGATCCAAGATGTTAGTGTAAGATCCAAGATGTTTGTGTAAGATCCAAGATGTTTGTGTAAGATCCAAGATGCTTGTGTAAGATCCAAGATGCTTGTGTAAGATCCAAGATGTTTGTTTAAGATCGAAGATGCTTGTGTAAGATCCAAGATGTATGTGTAAAATCCAAGATGTTTGTGTAAGATCTAAGATGTTTGTGTAAGATCCAAGATCCAAGATGTTTGTGTAAGATCCAAGATGCTTGTGTAAGATCCAAGATGCTTGTGTAAGATCCAAGATGTTTGTGTAAGATCCAAGATGTTTGTGTAAGATCCAAGATGTTTGTGTAAGATCCAAGATGCTTGTGTAAGATCCAAGATCCAAGATGCTTGTGTAAGATCCAACATGTTTGTGTAAGATCCAAGATGTTTGTGTAAGATCCAAGATGCTTGTGTAAGATCCAAGATCCAAGATGCTTGTGGTAAGATCCAACATGTTTGTGTAAGATCCAAGATGTTTGTGTAAGATCCAAGATGTTTGTGTAAGATCCAAGATGTTTGTGTAAGATCCAAGATGTTTGTGTAAGATCCAAGATGTTTGTGTAAGATCCAAGATGTTTGTGTAAGGTCCAAAATGCTTGTGTAAGATCCAAGATCCAAGATGCTTGTGTAAGATACAACATGTTTGTGTAAGATCCAAGATGTTGTGTAAGATCCAACATGTTGTGTAAGATCCAACATGTTTGTGTAAGATCCAACATGTTTGTGTTAAGATCAACATGTTTGTGTAAGATCCAACATGTTTGTGTAAGATCCAAGATGCTCGTGTAAGATCCAAGATGCTTGTGTAAGATCCAAGATGTTGTGTAAGATCCAAGATGTTTGTGTAAGATCACGATGCTTGTGTAAGATCCAAGATGTTTGTGTAAGATCCAACATGTTTGTGTAAGATCCAAGATGTTTGTGTAAAGATCCAAGATGTTTGTGTAAGATCCAAGATGTTTGTGTAAGATCAAGATGTTTGTGTAAGATCCAAGATGTTGTGTAAGATCCAAGATGTTTGTGTAAGATCAAGATGCTTGTGTAAGATCCAAGTGCTTGTGTAAGATCCAAGATGTTTGTGTAAGATCCAAGATGTTTGTGTAAGATCCAAGATGTTTGTGTAAGATCCAAGATGTTTGTGTAAGATCCAAGATGTTTGTGTAAGATCCAAGATGTTTGTGTAAGATCCAAGATGTTTGTGTAAGATCCAAGATGCTTGTGTAAGATCCAAGATGCTTGTGTAAGAATCCAAGATGTTTGTTTAAGATCCAAGATGTTTGTGTAAGATCCAAGATGTATGTGTAAAATCCAAGATGTTTGTGTAAGATCCAAGATGTTTGTGTAAGATCCAAGATCCAAGATGTTTGTGTAAGATCCAAGATGCTTGTGTAAGATCCAAGATGCTTGTGTAAGATCCAAGATGTTTGTGTAAGATCCAAGATGTTTGTGTAAGATCCAAGATGTTTGTGTAAGATCCAAGATGCTTGTGTAAGATCCAAGATCCAAGATGTTGTGTAAGATCCAACATGTTTGTGTAAGATCCAAGATGTTTGTGTAAGATCCAAGATGCTTGTGTAAGATCCAAGATCCAAGATGCTTGTGTAAGATCCAACATGTTTGTGTAAGATCCAAGATGTTTGTGTAAGGTCCAAGATACCTGTGTAAGATCCAAGATCCAAGATGCTTGTGTAAGATCCAAGATGTTTGTGTAAGATCCAAGATGTTTGTGTAAGATCCAAGATGTTTGTGTAAGATCCAAGATGTTTGTGTAAGATCCAACATGTTTGTGTAAGATTCAAAATGTTTGTGTAAGATACAAGATGTTTGTGTAAGATCCAAGATGTTTGTGTAAGATCCAAGATGTTTGTGTAAGATCCAAGATGTTTGTGTAAGATCCAAGATGCTTGTGTAAGATCCAAGATCCAAGATTCTTGTGTAAGATCAAAGATCCAAGATGCTTGTGTAAGATCCAACATGTTTGTGTAAGATCCAAGATGTTTGTGTAAGATTCAAGATGTTTGTGTAAGATCCAACATGTTTGTGTAAGATTCAAAATGTTTGTGTAAGATACAAGATGTTTGTGTAAGATCCAAGATGTTTGTGTAAGATCCAAGATGTTTGTGTAAGATCCAAGATGTTTGTGTAAGATCCAAGATGCTTGTGTAAGATCCAAGATCCAAGATTCTTGTGTAAGATCAAAGATCCAAGACGCTTGTGTAAGATCCAACATGTTTGTGTAAGATCCAAGATGTTTGTGTAAGATTCAAGATGTTTGTGTAAGATCCAACATGTTTGTGTAAGATCCAAGAT